TCCTCCTCCTCCCTCCTCCTCCTCCTCCTCCTCCTCCTCCTCCTCCTCCTCCTCCTCCCTCCTCCTCCTCCTCCTCCTCCTCCCTCCCTCTCCTCCCTCCTCTCTCCTCTCTCTCTCTCTCTCTCTCTCTCTCTCTCTCTCTCTCTGTCGTGTTCGCTCTCGCTCCCCCTTTCTCACTCTGGCTCTCTCTCTCTCACTTGCTCCCCCCCCACGCGTCTCTCACTTTCGCCCTTTCGTTCCGCAGGACATTCTCGCACAAATCCACGGTTAACAAATCAAATTAGGACACATATTATAGGCACGTGTAATCTACCGCCTTTTATTAATAGCTTATCGTATATATACTGTACTTTTATACCCGCGGGAAAGATGCTCTGTGGGTACTGGTACGTGCTGACTGTGAACGCATTATCCATGACAACCTAGGTATTGCTCTCTCTTCCCTCCCTCCCTGCCTCCCTCCGTCCGTCTATCTGTTTTTCATTCTCTCTTGCTCTTGCCCCCTCTATCTATCTCGCTCTCTCTCTCTCTCTCTCTCTCTCTCTCTCTCTCTCTCTCTCTCTCTCACAGACACATACGCACACACAATTGCTCTCTCTCTCTCTCTCTCTCTCTCTCTCTTTCTTTCTCTCACTATCTCTTTCTCTCCCTCTCTCTTTCTTTCTCTCCCTCTCTCTTTCTTTCTCTCCCTCTCTCTTTCTTTCTCTCTTTCTCACTTTCTTTCTCTCACCATCTCTTTCTCTCCCTCTCTCTTTGAACTTGCTCTCTACACTTCGTTATTTATTCACCCTACTTCTTTGTAGCTTCGGACTTCCTTACTGTACTTCGGGCTCCTTTTCCTTCTTCCTTACTGTACCTTAACATTGTTGTTTTCTTCATGTTTTCCTAACCTTTCCAATCTCCTACATGATTCTCCTTTCCCCCACCGCCCACATGCCTTCCTTCACCGTCCCTGACTAGCGTCTTTTCAGACTAGCCTCCCATCTCTGCTCTTTAGATGTTCACGGCGATGGGAGGCATGCTGGGGGCAGTGGTGGCACTATCTGTCGAGTCAGCCGAGGGCCTCGGTAACAGGACAGCATGGATCCTGCCCTTCACTGCTGGTGGTTTCATCAACATCGCCCTTGTGAATGTGCTACCAGACCTGCTGACAGAGACCAACCCCAGGTAGGTACAAAATGAGGATGCCTTCTGTGTAAGGCAACTCTAGGAGCAGTCGGAGAGTAAGGCGACAGCTTTTCTTTTCCAGTTATTATATAATTTATATTATTCTGTTGAAATTATGGTGTTATAACTGAAAAGGGCTTTTTGCCACATCATAGGGTCGTATACTCTGTGGTGGAAGCAAGGTACTGAAGCACTGACTGACAGCTTTGGATTTTTCACATCACAATAAACACTTGGTGAAGATCTCGTCATATGATCTATTATTAAAAAAATGTCTGATCGAGTCAACAGCCGTTCATCTCGAATTTTCAATCGCGCTCATCATCTGTTTACAGGGAGTCTGTGAAGCAGATCGCATGCCTAGGAGGAGGAATAGCAGTGATGGCCCTGGTGACAACTGTAGTCGATTGACAGGCGAAGGCACCGCACATACGGCACCGGTAAAAGCACTGTAACAGGCAGGAGCAGGGCCCCGATTTAACTGATTTATGTGTGTCTACTCTTCTCCTAACCAAAAGGGAAGTGGGCGATGAGGACGAGCAAGTGGGAAAATCATACTGTAATACTTGTAAAACTAGTGGAAATGCAATACTAGTACGTTGCAAGACGTTGTAGTAAAGTGACAACCACAACAGAAGCGACAGTAGTAGTGAAGGTAGTGGCAGCAGCAACAGTAACATAAGCAATAGTAGCAGTACCACCACCACCAGCACCACCACTGGTAGCCATAGCTGCAGCAGCAACACCCACCACCACCAACAACAGCAATGGTAGTGGTGGCAGCAGCACTAACACATCAGCAGCAGTAGTAGTAGTAGCAGCAACAGTGGCAGCAGAATCAGCAGTAGTAGTAGTAGTAGTATCAGCAGCGGCGGTGGCGGCAGAAGCAGTGGCAGCAGTAGTAGCAACAGTAGAAGCACCAACACTAGTAGTAGCAGCAATGGCAGTGGCAGTGGCAGAAGCAGTAGTAGTAAGAGTTGTAATGGCAGCAGCAGTAGTAGTAAGAGTTGTAACGGCAGCAGCGGCAGCAGTAGTAGCAACAGCAGCAGCAACAGCAGCAGCAGGCAGTCCGTGCGGCCCTCTCGTTGAACGACTACAGTAAATGAGGCCCTTCTACAGTAAATCAGAAGAGTATTTTTGACCTCGGACCACGTTAATCGGCGAGCGCCTGCATATTATAGTATTCTGCCGAAGACACTTGAAACGGTCTGAGGTTCCTAGACTGAACCCGTAGCAACAGCTCCACTCGCATGCACGAGGCCAGAGCACAGTGCTACATTTAGCGTGCGCATTAAGTACACAACGCACCATTCAATCAGCAACATCTTGATGTTTTGGCGGTAGCAACTTGGTGGCAATACAACGCATCGCTCCCATAATTGACCACGGATTTCTGCGAACAGCCGTAGGATTATTATGTGAAGCTGGGAGAGGAGTTCATAAACATAATTAAGAAAAGAAATTCAATTTAAAAGAATATACATGTGCTGTAGCTTGCCTTAGGCTTAAAGGACTACGTCTACGAATTTCCATGTAAAATTTTTAAAAAAAAAATTGCCTATTTTTTTACATAAAATAAGAAGCTAACGTTACTAAATATATTCCTCAAACATCTTCTACTCTGATAAAAATGTTTTTAACGGTGTTAACATTTGGGCCAAATATCTAGACGATTTTGGTAATTTCTGTTGTCTATGACACTTATCCCCAGTACTGTTCAGACTACTGGCGTCCTGCTGCTGTTTTCACCGGCAAATTAGGGCATGTAAAAGGAAGGTATATAAGGCATGAAAAGTAAACAAAAACCTAAATTGATTTTATACATTTATTTTTGTACAAAATAAACACAAATATACCTTCTTGATGGCTAAGACAATTCGGACGTAATCACTATTATACTTTAAGTTTAGCATAGTTTAGTTTGCCTTATCACAATGTTTAACATACTTTAACGTTTGTATCGCGATATTCGACCGCTGCGTATCCGCTTCGCGGTATCTACGTGGATCGCTGTATCGCGCGAATTCATCCAATGTATCGGTGAAACGTGCACTCGCCTACTGATGGTACAATGGTCTTATACTGATTGCAATTAGTTTTTCTGTCTTCATGTCGGCCATGAGGCAGAGCCTCCATGCAAGACCAAAGGAGTTGCTGCTTAGCCACACAACTTGGATGGCGCCTGTTGCCTGCAACAGTACCAGCTCAGTATGATGAATAGTTGTTGCCTAAACATCTAATCGAGTCAACTCGAGATGAATAGTAAGTTACCGCATAATGGCTTCATCTATCGATGCGTAAAGACGGCTGCTGTTCAATTTGGGAAAAGCTGGTGAGAATATTTGTATGGTGAAAATATAAATGTCGACGAGAAATTAAAGTAGCACGGTTTTCTAGTTAATAGATAGAGGTGGTTAATTATGAGTATCCTTAGCATTAGTTAGTTTAGCTATTTTCCTGCTTGTATGCGTAATGGTAAACAGTGACTGTTTTTTAACATTGGTATGTACATAGGCTACTGGAGAAGGATACGACAGCGTTAGAATGGAGAACGGTGTGGCGTTTTATGTATTATATAAATTGGCTACCTTTAAATGCGAGAGCTTGTAATTGTCCAAGTGTTTTAGTATTTACGAATCAGAAAATTTAAAGATTTAAGTCAACTTAAAATTCTTATCTATTTGCGTTTAAACCTATCTGATAAATCTGGCTTAGCGAGCTGACAAGTTTGTAGCATAGTGCTAGTGTTTGATTATGGACTGGTTGCAAACAATAAACAGTAAGAGCCAATTAATTGAATACTGGCTTCAGATAAGTTTTATTCTATATACACCGCTTTGTAACATTGAAGCTCGTATACTACTGTAACAGACATGTGCAAAAAAGCAATTTTGAATACATTCTCAATATATGTTAGGCATGCATTGTAAATATCGGCCTAATAGTTTTACTGTGTAACCGAGTAATCAATTATTACCAAGAGTAATCAATTATTACACACTCGTACGGCTGTTAACTTTTGAACAACATTCTAACAATTATTTACAAAGAATTCAATTCGATATATGTTTGCTGCCTTACTCATAAATTACACGGCAGTATAAAAGTATGAAATCGATAACGTTATTAAATGCAGCTATAAGTCTGACCATGATATGTTTGATTTCCTAAGTCAGTGGGAGTAAAAATTGCTTTCTGCTATTAAAAAACGCTCATATATGTGCGTTCATAGTAATTAGCTAAACAAGTTCACGTGCGCAGACAAGCTTAATTGTCGGATTATTATCAAGCATTCTGAGCCTGTACTTACATGGGACTGTGCTCAGAGTAACCAGCACAATCTGTACGCGATCTCTGCTAATATATGCTCACAGACCCAGTAATGCTGAGACATAGCATACACAGCCGTCCCAGACTGCGTTTCTGATTCGCCCACGATACGCATTCAAAATCTCCATGTGGCCCAAAAGCTGTTTGACTAACGAACGAAAAAGGAAACAGAATACAGAAGAGGGGGAGGGCACAACACACTGGGGCGGCCCCAAGGTACATCAACGTGGCGAAAAGACAGAATCCCAAAATTAGAGCAATCGTGCTAGGTGTAGATATCAATACGGCACACCCCAACCGCCTCTACCAACACTGCCATGGGGCAATATATACCGTGCCTATATGCGCTAGCCTTAAGTCAAGTAGTGATATTCTCTCACTCACAAGCACTGCTTACACATAACATGCACGCTTGCATACACATGCTCTTGGCATGGCATTAAGCATGTCAGATAGCAGCTTGAGCTGAGCTTAGGAGATAAGATCGCCGAAGAACTGTCCAACGTTAATTGAGGAGAGATGATCTCAGGTAAACCAATCAGTCGTAGTCGTCCAACGCCACCGTCATGCATAGTCAGCCACCATCACGAGTGTGTTGCTACTACTACTGTTATTACCTAAGCCTGCTGTGCTGTTGCCCGTACAACGTTACTACTACTACTTGCTGATGCCTGCGGTTGCAAACGTGACTACTAGCGCTGCGCAGTTGCGCAACCTGTTACGACTAGCTGCTGCTGAGCTGCTGTGGTTGAAACGTTACTACTAACGTACGCTTGCTGCTGTTGCAACTGTTTACTACTGAGCTGCGCTGCTGCTGCTGCCTAACAGACTGTTACTGACTACGCTGCTGCTTGTTGCAACTCGTTACTTACTAGCTAAGCGCTGCTGTGCTGCTGCGTGACAACTTGTTACTAGCTAGCTGCTGCTGCTGCTATTGGCAAACTGTTACTACTAGCTACTGC